TGGAGTGAAGGGTCTGGGGAGGTGTTGCAGAGCCCTGGAAACAGAAGGACTGAGGATTAAATTCTAGGGATCTTTGAAAACCTTACTGAGGTTACCCAAGGTCCGAGGGCAAGTCCAGTGTGCATGGCAGGAAACACAGAGGTAGAGGTGCAACTTTCTCCTAAGGTACTGCTGCATCACCCATAGCCCACCGTGTCCTCCCTGGGATCTGCAGAGGCCTGAGTGCCTGGCTGGGTGTATAGCATAGAGGTCCACACAGGGACACCGCAGTGCAAGTGGGGATCTCTTAGCAGTCTTCCAGGTTTCGGAGAGGGTCTGTGGTTCCCCAAGGCTGAAAAGCTACAGCCTACAAAACTGTCCAGGTCCAGGTTCTTCCAGGAGGCATTCCGCCCCCAGAGCCAGGCTCAGGCAGTCCCTGCGCCCAAACAAGGTGAGAGTTCCCTTGGGAGGCAAAGGTCCCAGGACTCAGACCTTGTAGTAAATGTTGGCAGGATTCTGTGGGGCATCTCCTGCACGGTATACACTGGGTGCCCATAGTCTCCGCTGACCTTCTTATAGTATGGGCGGAAGACACTGTCTGCAATCTTTAGCGGTATGATAACATCACTGAGTTCCCAGCCATAGCTGTTGGCACCTCGCTTGGGTGTGGTACTGTGCTGGGGAGAGTGTTTGCGGTGCCTCCTGTGGTACTTAAGCAGCAGTACCACCAAGGTGATGATGATGACAATGAAGATGATGCATCCTGATGTGATTCCTGCGAATAAGGCCACTTTGGAATCCAGGATATTGTTCCCGGAATGCCCTGCGCTGTTGCCTTCGGTGCATGGAAGCAAGAATAGCCAGTTACTGTAGTTCTGAGATTCTGCCCTCTAGCTTGCAGAAAGAACGCTCCAAATGCAAACAAGTAAGCAGGGCCAATGCTCAACTCACAGGGTGACCTTACAACAGATCACAAGATGAGTTGAAGGAGCTTCAAAGGTCTGACACTCACTCACCATGCCAACCACTTCCTAAAGGCGAGACAGCCAATCTGGAACTTCCCTAATTTCAACACTTCAGGATGCATCGGTAACTGACATACCTGGTGAGCTCTGCTCTGGTGACTGTAAAACACTGAAAGGACTGAATTAGTCTGTCTTAGTGTCAGAGTTAATATTGACTCGCTGAGAGCAAAGACACCAGGAATCTCTGGCCACAAGTGAATTCCACAGGTTTGGATGTGTTTTGAGGCTCTTCTGCCTCTAGACGTTCTAAGAAAAATGCACCTCATAGACACATAGCCCCACCACACTGCTGTCCCTGGATTTGGTTACACAAAAGAGCTTGTTGTTGAATTTCTTTGGTTTGTACCAGCTTCTAGCTCTGGACGTCTTGTTGGATCATTATTCCTGGTTGATCCAGCAGGACTTGCATCTACATGAAGAAGAAGCGATTAATCATGGCACAGACATCTGAAAATGTAGCAAGCTTCAGGAGTTGCAAAGATATCTCAAGAGGCATGAACAACAATGAACATAAGACTCTCTATGCAAAGCACTGAGAAATACAAGAATATAACCTTCCTTTTTAATCAGAATGGTTATCCTAGTTATTTGTTAGGTTTAGATTTTAGGTTTAGATTAGGAGGCCATCTGTGGAAACTATAGGGATTCTTGCATTTGGCAGTCAAAGCATTCCAGATGACATTTCAATTTCACTAAGCAAGTTGACTGACAGCTATACTAGTCTCTAATTAGAATAATTCTTTGTTTCTTCACAATAGGTTAATCTTATGTGAAAACACAGCTCTTGGTTTGATCTTGAAAATGAAACAAAGAAGCATAGCCAGTGCTTACGTACTAGACACTTTGATTGTTTTTCAAAGAGGTGTTCTCCATTGTAAAGAGATATATATGTGTCTGTGGCATCACGCAGACACCCTGTCTCACTTGCCTGAACTTTTAGAGAGATCTAAATGAGAAAAACTGAGCATGTCAGTTTCCGGGATTTAACCAGTGGTTCAAAGTGCAAAAAATGGTCTGCCTTCAAAACTAACAAGAGGGGTGATGGTGAGCATCACCCCAGGTGCCACGCTAGATGGGGGCTGTACCAGCTCACAGTGGGGTCACAAAGCAGCAGTTGATCTTTACCTTGTCCAACTTTCATGATGATCTTCATGGCTCTTGTCTTGAACACCCCTCCTTCCTGGTCATGCAGGCTTTCCAATGACCCATTGGATGTAGCTGATTAAAAATAAAATGGACAAAAGAATGAAGAAAAAATAACAACCAATCAGGAGATGATTCAGTTTTCCTGAACATGAAATTTCTGTAAACAATTTGAAAAATAAGAATTCACTCATTGTCACAAGTTTTCTGAATGTATGGGATGCTGAAAGCTGAAAAGAAAAAGAAAAATAAATAAAGAGAAATGGATCTTGGAAACATTGTGACATGTAGGCTACCTGCTTCTAAGTGCAATTAAAAACACCCTCCCATATACACATGATTTAATATTACACTATAGGTAAAAGGGACAGCACCTTCCAAAATACACACTGAATCATAGGGGGGGGGCAAAATTAGAAAGTGCAAAAGAGCAAACATGATAATTTCATAACTTGGTAATCATCTCCCAACTCCTGTTTCCTTCACTCCACACCTCCTGCTTAAAGAACAATGAAATAGATGCTATGCTTGTCAAACCTCCAAGTTCTGTAAACACTATCTTCTCCAGCCAGGAATGTGCTGAGGTAGCATACTAGAACTCAAGTCTTCTGAGTCTGCATTCTCATCACAGTGTAAGTCCCTGCAAGCTTCTGTTTTTATACACCCCCATCAGACACTTTAGCCAAGTTTCCTGCTAGGGAAAACTCCAGCTGTTGCCCCCCTGCTTCCCTGGCTGGGTCTTGGGACAACTTGGATATAACCAGGTGGGGGCAACATTGGCCAGCTGGGCTCCTTTTCCACTTTAAAAATGAGGGGAGAGGGAGAGCACAACGCTTCTACCAATGTCTTCCTGTCTGTCTAAGCTGTTCTGTCTACACACATTGCTGTATGTTGTACTGAGGCCTGTAAATTCTCTAAATGGTTTTGTAACTAAAGCTGCAAATAGTTGGGCTGTCAGACCATGTAATGAGGAGCCGGCTTTCAGTTTACAGTTCAAGTTTGAGTAGGAGGAGAAGGTGGAATGTGCTGAACACTGCTTCCCCTTGAGTTCAATGGGCAAGGAACAGAAGTATTTCATAGACACATCTGTAATTTTAATCACCTTCCACTTTCTCTATCAAAGTCCTGTCTGCTAACACTATACTCAGAAG